AGTCGCTGCACCAAGTGCTGCTCCTCACATGGGGGGGGGGGGCATGCCCTCTCGCGACGATCGCTACTCCGAGGATGGATTCAGGCGCTAACTCACCGAGCTTTGTAGGAGTCCCAATTCCCAACTCGTCTTCCTTGCTGCCACCTGCCAAGATGCTAGAGACCCGAAGCAGACGAGCCGGCAACACCCTCCTCGACCGTCGAGCTTCCGAGCCCATCGTCTCTTCCGCTTGCGGAGTACCACGCCTACCACCATTTCTCCCATTGGCTGGCGACGGAGCAGCGCTGCTTGTGTGCGTGAGTTGAGAGATGGAAGCGTCGTCCAAGTCCATCGTCGTGTCACCTACACTTGAGGTGGAGTTGGAAGCTGAGAGGGTGACGGTCTGTCCTGCCGCTGCTTCGCGCCCCGCTTCGATCACCTTGGAGTGAGAGCTGTGCGCCGCGGGCATCGAAGCGGAGACGCCGTCAAGAGGTACGAGCGGCGAAGGTCTCCTTTCCAACATGTCTGCTGTGCCGAGCTTCTGGATGGAGGATGTTGCTAGAGGAGATGATTTGCGCTGCTGCATGATGACCGGAGTTGCTAGACTGCTCTGCGGCACCGTCGAGGCGTGCTGAGGATGGTGTGAAATGATAGAGGGATCACCGTTGGTCAAATCAGTGTCGCCGTCGATTGGTCTCACGGTTGGCAATTGATTTGTAGCGGCGGATGCAAGTGTGGTGCTGGATGCGGCGGGCGATGCGCCGTTGCTCGAGCTCATCATGAGTTCACCGCGACGACCCCAAGCGCTGCTGGACTTTTGGCTGTCGAGCAAGAGCAGTGATGATGGAGGGGAAGCTGAAGGACCTCGAACGATCGAACGCAATTTGACCGTGACCGTGACCGTGGTCGTGAGAGCGTGCGAGAATGTGCGAGTGCAATGATAGCACTGTACCGCGGGAGCAATGGCACAGAGACGCGGTCAAAATCGCGACTCGGCGTACGTGTCAGCGTGGCAGGGGTGAGAGCGGTGTTCAGAGTGACACACCTGTGCCGGAGTGAATGTGCATCAAGAAACAGTCGTCATCAGACAAGCGTTCTTGACAATACTGACGCTCAAGAATCACGAATGCGAATCAGAATGCTGATCGGATTGGTCTGTCCAGGGCAAACAAAGCGTGCACGAGACGGCGCTCTGCGGAAATGGAAATGAAGCTGTTCGCGCGTGCTGAACGTCTGCTCGTCTGTCTCATCTGCGCGTCGCTTGCAAAATCACGGAGTTCGCATTCGCATTCGCATTCAACATTCACATTCGTGATTGTTGTGATTGTGATTTACAGTAGATGCGCCGATGCGCGCGTGCTTACAGACGCAGCTTGCTGCCTCTCTCTCCATCAACAATCACAAGTCACAAATGTTGTATCGAGCTTTCGAGCTTTGATTCCGAAGATGCACAGCAGCAGCACACATCGCCCACCCGTGCATTCGGCATCACATACAAGGCAGCGTCCACGTACGGCACCATACATCCTCTCCCCCTTTACGCAGCTCGACGGATTAAAAAGGTTGGACAGACACGCATGCTGGTGACGAGCCGACAAGAACGCAAGCCAGGCAAGACACTACAAGCCGATCCGGTGGCTTCCGCCTTTCATAGAGGGTTGACGCCAGGTACGGGACAATGATTCACCGAGTCCGGACCGCTGCATTGCACTCGAGCTCCAGACATCCAATGCCGGCCGTAACGTCGCCAGCTCACTCGCATGCGACGCCGCAGACGTCCTTGAACACCTTTGAGAAGTGTCTTGCATTCCCTCTAAGCATGCTCAGGCAACACGCCGTCTCGCTTCGATGGTCGTGAGCATAGCAATGGACATACAAGCATACATGCGCCTCAAATGTCTACGTTTGGTTCCCAACTGACTCCACATCCGCATCCAGCGCCTTTTGCTTGAGGATTGTCTCGAATGACAAACTGAGATCCGATCAATTCCGTTGCGTAGTCGATGGTCGATCCTTTGAGCAACCTCAAGCTCACCGAATCGATCAGCAAAGAGGCTCGAGGGTATGTGATGGATGTGAAGCAGCTGGGAGGAGCCAACGAATGCGAGTCATGAGCATCCTCCGCCCTACACCCGTCTTGATGAGGTTCCTTGCCTTGACTACTCACAAATCATCCTCTTCTGCGCCCTCGTCGACCACGTTCATGGCATACTGATAGCCATGACAGCCACCAGGCATGACCTCGACCCGCAGAGCGATTCCGTCTTTGCCTTCCCTTTCTGCTACCGCATCCAGCCTCGCAGCTCCAGTCTCTGTCAAGAGTACCTTTGGATCGCCACCCTCCAAGACTTTGGGCTCTTCGGGGCTTGACGGCCGTCTCGTTATCCGCGTCAGGTCGGGCGGAGAGTGAGATTCATTTGGCACTGCTGGAGCTGAAGATGGCACGGACCGCTGCTCGGAGGTGACGTTTTGTCTGATTGAGCGAGCGTGGGAGAGTAGACGGGCCGATTGGCTTGGTGATGGCTCGCCCCTCTGTTGTCCACCTGGTCGCAGCACGGTGTGCTGTGATGTGAGAATTGGCAAAGCTCTACGCAAGGAGCTTGAGAGCGTCTGTTGCGAGCTTCGCAGCACCACGCGTGAGCTGCTAGCAAGGGCCATGTCTGCAGTCGCTCAACCCCACGCAACTTCTGTCAGCCAGAGTTTGGCTCTTGTTATGTGGTGCTACTGTCTGTGGCGAGAGCGTGAGTTCAGCCGCAGTGATTGAGCGTACGTATCCCGGCGATGACGAATGGCGTGGCGAGATGGTTTCGTTGGTAAATCAGAGCTGAGGAGCGTAGTGAGCTAGTCTTTTTTGAGAAAGTACGATACGGTATGCGGGTAGTAGAGAGGTAAGAAGTCGGGGAAGCGTCGTCGAGGTCGTGCACACCGACAAGTGGCGTGCGGGCCGGCGTGGTCGGACATAACCGATAGGGCGCCGGTCACGTGGACTCCTGACTCACTACTGCCAAGCTTGAATTGCAGCACCTCCACGCGCAACTGATGCCGACTTGCGCGATCAACTGGGCTGCATGCACGCTGACTGCGATGGATGATGAGCACATCTCCCCCTCCTGCGAGAGCGGGTGGTGCGCGCGCGAGACCTGCTGAGGGCGTGCACGCTGCGATCCCGAATCCGATCTTGACCAAACGCGTCGAACAGCATGTCGAATGATCGACTCAGGCACACCGTGTCCGGGCCTCTCACACCTTCATCTCATCTTCGTCATTAGCAACAAGGGCAGCTATCCTCATTATTGGCGATCGCCCATCAAGCTCTTAGCTTTGGCGATCGCACTGCCTCATCTGCGTTCGCTTGCGGGGCGCGCGTCACATCGAGTCACGCGTCGAGCCCCTTGCGACGAGCTCCGCTAATACCCTTCTCATCCCATCGATTCCGTGTACCACACTCGCACGCGTTGCGCCACGACAGCGGTGTATCGACTCCGAGAGCGCTGTAGCTTCGTCTCCCTACTGATGAGCGTGACGAGCCGCACGATGAGCACGCCACGAGGAGGAGCTGGTGGAAATGGCGCGCATCCCGGCAAGAATGTCAGCGGTGGACAGCACACGCATGGAGGACGCAAAGGGCAGAATATCGACCATGTGAGTTGCTGCGTGTATCTCGACATGGTGGTGGGAGTACGAGCCCCTGCTGTCCTGGATATGATGTCGCGCCTCCAACGCGAGCAGGCGCGCCGTGCGCCATCACAGCTGCTGATCATCTCATCCCTGCAAAATGCGCAGCTTCTCGGCTTCACCATGCCTCCTCGAGCACGCCCGCCTCCGCCAGTCGCTGCGAAAAAGAGACGTGGCGGCCACTTTGCGCCCTTCAACAAGGAACGTAAGTCCTCGCTGGCGCAAGTCAGGCTCTAGTCGCAGCGTCAGAGATGCCAAGTCCGCTCACAACGTTGTCGACTCCTCGTTTTCTCTGTAGGCTACGTAAATGCGCAGTATCGTTTCCTGCTCAAGCCCACTGGGGATTACACCGCTTTTTACGCGGACCCAGACGTGTTCCTCCACTGGCCGGACATTCTCAGCGTGTTGATCCCGACTTCCTCTGCGCTATCCAACTCCGCGGCCCCTTCTTCTGCAACGAATGCACACGCCCCGCACCTCGAGACACACGAGGGCGCATCGTGCCCAATATGCCTCTCGCCGCCGACCGCACCACGTATGACCAAGTGTGGTCATGTGTTTTGCTATCCCTGCATACTCCACTACCTCTCGACACCGGATGGAGAGAGCACAGCCACAGCATCTGGGTCTTACTCTTCGTCGCCTTCTCGACCGGGCGCAGCGCCACACAGACCGCCTGGGTCAGCCCCAGCATCTCGTGCTGCCTCGTACAGCACCCAAACAAGTATGCAGAGCACCAAACCCCCTCCAAAATGGAAAAGGTGCCCTATCTGCTGGGATGCCGTGTATGCAAGAGATGTCAAGGCCGTGGAATTTTGGGACACACGAGCTGAAGCACTGGAAGCGGACGAAACGGCAGGCTGTGCCCCAGGTCCCTTGGACGGCTTACTGATGCGATTGATCGAAAGACCGCATCTGACCACGCTAGCTCTGCCCATTTCGGCGACTTGGCCAGGATCTAGCGAGCCTCTAATTGCGCAGCGAGCTGCCCCTTGGCATTTCTTGCCTGACGTCAGGCGATTCTCAAAGCTGATGATCTCGACGCCTGAGCACGTAGAAGGGCATCTGCGGCGAGACGCTTCCGAGCTCGCAGCCGAACGTCGGTTGTTGGAATCACTGGGAGGAAGCAGCGAACCTTCGTTGCAGTTCGTCGATCTGGCGCTTGCGAAAGTCCACGAGCAAATGGATCGGGCACGTCGGGAGCTCGACCTTCCGCATATCCGCAAAGCGATCGAAAAAGCGCTTGCTGACTTGGCCGACGTGCAGGAGATGGAAAGTGCACGAATGCTAGGGGAAGCCTCCAAATGGAAAGACCGTCAACCAAGTCGGGTAAAGCCGCAGCCTGTCCTTGACGACGTCGAGACTCCAGCGCAGGCACCGGACGCGCAGCCCAAGGGTGGCGAAGGTGCAGCGGAGCCAAGTGAAGGAGCAGCAGAGTGGCTGGCTCTCCAGTCTCACGTGCCAGCCGGTGGGGCGACGACAGTCATAGGTCTGGAGGTGGATAGCTACGGAACCACCACCTCGCCAACATCTACCAAATCAGCCGCCCCGCGAACCAGGCGTAACATCAACCCACCTGCCCCATCTTCGTCTTCTTACCTCTTCTACCAGGCCGCCACAGGCCAGCACATCTACTTGCAACCCTTGGACGTCAAGGTACTGCTGGCCGAGTACGGTAGCTATGCAGCCTTTCCACGACAGCTCAAGCTCAAAATTCAGGGCGCTGATGAGGGAAGCATGAACGACGAGCTCCGCAGGAGGTGCAAATACCTCAGCCATCTTCCCATGGGCACCGATGTCGTGTTCTCCGAGGTTGACTGGGACTTCATGGCCAGTCAAGGCATGCAGCAGCAGGCCTCTCGGGAGGGCAATGTCGCTGGCGCAGAGGCTACTTCATCACGGTCTGCCCACCAGCCGATCGTCAGTCGGTCAACTCTGAAGCCCTTTGAACAAGGCATGAAGATTCGGAGAAACAGGAGAAGAGATCGCGAACGCAAGGATGATAGAGCTCGTACTAGAGCGGAAGAAGCAGAGGCAGCTTCTCGACCTGGCGGAGCGAACTTTGCAGCCAGACGGCAAGCAGCCATAGATAGCATTGCCCATGATCCCGAGCTTGCGGCAGCTGCGGCAGCGGGATTCGTGGGCGGGAGCAGCTATGGAAGCAGTCCGGGGGTAGGCGGTCTGGCCAGCAGTAGCTCAGCCGCTGAGG